TCTTTCTTGGTCTTTATGCAGTAACTTATCTGATGGAGAAGTACCTGTTGATTTGACAGCCAAAAATCGGGGGGCTTCCACGAAACGGTTTCAACACATCACAGCATCCACCATTTTTTTGAGCACGGACAGCCGTGACCTATTTGTGGCATTGCTTCACTCCTCTGACGGGCTCCTCGTCTTGGTGCCTCGTCTGACGGGCTCCTATTTTCGTGTGGCTGTCGTGTTTCGAGAACGCATGAGAAGCCGGCACATACTGTAGGGTTTGGGTCGGGGCCCTGTTCGACTTGAGGGTTCGACGCATGCGAAGATGTTGGATCCAAGGATTGGTGGGGAATGTTTGTTTTAAAGACATTCCCTTGAAGCTCACAACGGGTCAGTGCTCGCACCTGCAAAAGTCGTAGGCGCAACGGGCTCTAGGTCCAGTTTGAGTGTCTCCGGAAACACCGGGTGCAGGACATACCTTGAGTGCAGCATCGCAGCGGCAAGCCGACTGTCTGCGAAGTGCCCTAATGACCTCTTTGGTGAGTTGGAAAACGGCATGGCCAGACTCAGAGGAGGAGTTGGAGACCCCATGTGGCCATGGCTCAAGAGATACGAGCGTCAAATCCGAGAAGCAAGGGGGGGCGGAGCAAGTGTTTGGTGCAATTTGGGTCCACATATATGTTGTTGTCCTACTTGTGTTCTATGAGTTCTATGTGTATGTGTACTCAGGTGTAGGTAGGTACTAGAGTTGTCAGAGTCTACTGCGACGCTTGGGGGGGTTGATCCGATGTGACTGTGGGAAGATCCGATGTGACTGGAGGCCTGAAAACGCCCTTCAAAACCTCGTTCTTCGTGCGTGTGTTTCGTGGATGATCCATGGTGGAACGTTTGATCCCAGACACTCCATGTCCATCCCAGCGGATTTGTTTCCGACCCTTCGCTCCCTTCCCTTACCTTTGCTTCCCTTGTCTTTCCTTTGACTTTCCTTCCCTTGCCGTGCCTTGCCTTTCCTTCCGATCTTACTTGATCAATCAAAGACCATGCAGCATGCACTTGGACAGTCAGTACCCAACCGACTCGTCAGTACCCCACCGGGAGATACCCTATCTCCCCGTTCACCGCATGTGCTTTCGGCGCGCGGGTCGTCTCAATTCGGGCTTCGCCGGACTTCCCTGGGGGCGGCCCAGGTTTTCAGCGCGCCAAGAAGTCATTGCCGATGGAATTGAAAACCTGGGCGGCCAAGAAGCTCGAAGAGCTACAGAAGAAGGACTGTCAGCTAGACAGTACATATAATAGACATATAATTGTGTAGACCATATCATAGCCAGCACCCCAAAGGTTGGTTTATAGACCCCTGTGTATTTTCCTCGTTTGCGCTGAACGAACTCGTTCTCCGAGGTACAGTAGCGGGTAGCCTCGAGTCATGAAAGCTGACCCAGTATTTAGCCCGAAATGGATCCACATACCCGGTTACTCTCTGGAGGGTGAGGAGGGAGACACTTTTATGTAGGCACAAGCAGGGTCCAGTCGTACCTTCTGAGAAGGTTTGTGGAATGTCTTGGCTTCAGGATTTTGAACATATTTTAAGGTCGTGCCGGTACCGTCATTGAACCTTGGGTTTTCCATGCGTCCCACCGTACTTCCCCCCCCTTTCTGAGAGAGAACCCCGTGAAACCGGGCGACCGGCTTCGGGTACGAGAGAGACATTGGGAGGCCGGATGTGTCCCAGTGGTAACCGTCAATTGCGAGGCCATTTGTACAGATGCAGATGCACAGATGCAGAATCATGCAAACCAACAGATTCTCTCCATCAGTTCTCCCTCCGGCTCAGGATCCTGCAACCCCAAGGCTGCATGGGATCCTAGTGGGTTAGTTCGCCCTTCCATCGTCCAGGAGCTGTCGCCAAGCACGCGTGCTCCGTCAAAGGGACGTCTCTCACCACCGCAGGTGGGGTCATAGTCGGCCGGGTTGGACACAGAGCGATTGTCTTTCGTCGTGCGACAAACCGTGACGTCCGCTTCTTTTGGACCGGGATTCCTCTGAAAACCCATCACTGAACATCAATTTGCCGGCGAATCACCCTAAAAATCGATGCGTCAACATTGACAGCCACCATCAAAATCATCAAAGATGGTGTCCATGTTGGAATTTTTGGGGCTCATTTCTATCCTACCAGTATCGCCTATAATGTGATCCCATGCCACCTCATAGAAGTTGACCGAAGGTATGATACCCATCTTTGTATCTTGGTATGACAGAAAATCATGATCCCATCACCGAGAATCCCAGGCACCAACTGAGAAATCCCAGGTACTAGGGCAGCATTGCATGTAATTCCACGTCCTGTAAATATGTGTATACATACTTTGTATAGAAATACTAAAAAAACTTTCATACGTTGTAATATACTGTAAATATATATATATTCTATAATTATATATACACACACACCAGAAGTTCCAAGTTCCAAACGTTGTGCTTTTTGGAGGGTAGGGGTGCCCAGAACATCCATTGCATAAAACTAAAAGCCGCTCCTTTGAATTGGAATTGATAGGAATGACCGACCCTCAGTTCTACTACATGCAAGCCACCTTGTCCCCATAGAGAGCACTTTGTGTGTGACTCACTTGGCCAGGAGCAGCGAGCGCAGCCGCGTCTTGCTCGTCCTCACTCCGCCGTGCAGCTGACCCGACGGAACCGCGCAAAGGCCTAGCAACAGGGCTTTCCAGATCCGATGTGGAGGCCCCCCCAAACTCACCCGACCCCCAGATGCTCCATGATCCGAAAATGGGACTGTAACATGCTCCATGATCCGAAAATGGGACTGTAACATGCTCCATGATCCGAAAATGGGACTGTAACCTCTGTTTGACCGTTGAAATCGGTCCTACCCCAACCTGATTGGTCAAGATAACCAGTCCCATGGACCAGTGCAGGTGTCGAAACTGGGCGTGTATGGAATCTGAACCTGTGTCAGTTCGTTTTCTTTTTCGAACATGCACCAATTCAATATGTTTTTCAATGTTTTGCAAGGGGTATGAGACTTCTGGAGATGAAGAGAGTATAGGGCTTCCTAGTTTCGTGGTAACATGACTTCAATGGGTGTACATCCTATCCCCCCACAACCCCTCCCATAATCCCCAGAACACACCTCAAGTCAACGGGTCTCTCCTGGCGGTCGCCGTTTTTCAAGTCGGGCACCGAGCGCCCGAGCGCCAGAGCCGCGAGCAGCAAACGCGCCAGAGCACCCAAGATGGGTGGCCTGGAGGCGTCGCTCGTTTCGGCGTGTACATAGAGCTTCATAGACCCTGGCAGGCCTGGTGACGATTTTTAGATGGCTTGATGACTTGGTGACCCATTTTTTAAGCAGTTCTTGGAAAAGTTGGTGGTCCCCAAAGCTAGTCAAACTGGACTTCTAGGGTAGAGTTTCTCGAGGACCTCGGAGGCATCACACCACCGGAAAAAAATGGTCGAAGCACATGGTCGACCGAAATGCCTCGACTTTCGGCTCGAAAAAACTGCCCTCGAAATGCCTCGAAGTGAGGTGATGCGATGATTTTGAAGCTGCCTGATGGACATGCCATCACGCCAAAATGATGTGAACATCCAGGGACAAGAAAAGTACAACAACATGACCTCCGCCGCCTGGCCATGGCCCGGCACTTTGCCTGACTCCACTAAGAGGTAGGCCCAGAAATGTAGAGAAGGTACGTGGCCTGGACCTTGAAGCCTTGACATGGTGAATGAAAGGATCCGCACCCGAACCAATATTAATAGGGTTTGTGAAATGTGGCCCGAGGTCGACCCCAAGACGGAGGCCGGATCCAAGGCCTACCAGGACATGTGAGGACCGAAAACAGATGAAAGCAGCCAAGAGGTGGTGAAATAAGGAGGACTCCCCAGTAGACCCCCCCCCCCATATAATAGGCGCTTGAAACACTCCAGCCATTTCGCAGCCAACACATGGAGCCGGAGCAGAGACTGTGGGGCCTCGCGAGCGGACGCAGCTTGGGACGCATATTGATTCGATGGAGGCTCAAAAACTGGTGTCGAGGTAATGTAGACTGTTGACGAATAACCCCCCCCCATGAGAAATAATCATATTACAATCCAAATAGGTGGATTTTGTTGATCAACAATTAAATTTACGTTTCTGTTCATACCGAAATACTGTGCATTGGGCCGAGAAAACTGGTGGTCTTGAACGGCAAATAGTCCATAATGGTTAACATGCGTATGAGAACTACCATCTTTAGGGAGTGCACTAGGATGTTGATTGGATGGACCATACTAGCGACCCAAAGCTCCAGATTAAGATGTTCTCGACCCAATTGGACCCGAATATATTTTGTTTTTGTTACGTTCGTAGCGTCCTTGTTCCTAGTAGCGATGCCAGGTAGTAGCTTCTTGCTACTTATAGTAGTAATGCCCTTGTTATATACTACTTGTAGCAGCGATGCCATGTTACTAGAAGCAAGGATGCTACTGGTAGTTTGGAGGGTTCTTGGGAGGATGTGCCGTTGCATGGAAAAAAACTCACCTTAGTTTGCTGGTGGATCTGCACAGAGTGACTGACCAACGTGATTTAAACAGATTCTTAAAACACCAAACAGGGGGGCACCAACAGCCAAATCCATTTGCCAGGGCATTCTTGACTTTGGTGCCTTGGCATAGACTCTGTGGATATCTTGAAATCCTTCCGGCGCCTCAGAAGCGTGGGCTCAAATTGGATGCGTTCCTTTGTCGCCGGAGTCAGACATGAGAAGATCGGCGAACTTGTATCTCCTACATGTCGATTCAGTCCCTGGAACCGAGTCGAGCCAAGTTCTGAGAAACCCAGAATTCAGACACTTCTTGAGACCAAGTTGATCGGCTTGCAGCTTGTGCTGACTGTGTGAGTCTAGGTAGCAAGTATCCCGGCCGTCCCGGCCACCCAAATATTGGTGAATATGCCAGTTCCATCGGTTGTGTTTGGGGTAGGTAATGATTTGAGATTGGATGAGCCAGTCTCCTTCATGGAACCTCTCCGTGCCGACAGCGCGATCGAATGGACGACGACGTCCTTGCAAGAAGGGCATCGGCAAGAACTGCTGGGCACCATCGTGCGCGTCCATCGCTTGGGCAAAGGCGAAACACAACGAACGTTCTCCGATGCCATCGGTCGGGGTCAAGCGGTCGGGTCGAGCATGCCAGGGCCGGACGGAATCGATTCTGCAGACTTGGATGGACGAGGTTTGAATCATTGAATTCGTACCAATCGAAGTATGTCATGTTCATATGTGCAGGCCGACTGTGGCATTCGATTCGTGTGGTGTGGCATCGTCCTTGCATAGTCTTGGTCATGAAGATGGATTTGGTCGTCGACTAAGTGGGTTTGTATGTGACTAGGGAAACCCACCACCAACGGGTTGTGGTCATGTTACTTTTTCCAGGGCGTCCAATATGGTCTAATTGGGGGTCTCCACACCTCATGTGATACTTACAGATGCGAAAGCCAGTTGTTTTGACCCTGTGCACCAAGGAAGCACGTCCAGTTAGACTCTCCCGTCAGATCCACCTGATGTCGGCCCCATCATTTCATGCCATCCCTATATATGGATCCACATAGCCCATGACAGGGTCACTAATTGGAGACATATTTTTTATGGAGGCTTGGAGGGTCCAAGTACCTTCCAAGAATTTGGCTCTTTAGGGGTCTGCACCTGCCATCTAGCAGAAGTTCGTTCCGACGGCTGGTTTGATCTTAGGGTCCAGAGTCATCCGATGCAATCAGCTGCAAGTTCTCTTGGGTTCAGCGGTTGCCTACACGACTTGGTGCCCAGTGACGAAACGCCTTCCTTGATTTTGGTGTTTGATGAACCATGCGAACCACTGGATCCAACAGATTTGGCGATCCGTGCGACTAAAAACAGTGCGATGAGCCATTCATTCGCCCAAGAACGGTGTGTGTTTTCTGCACAACTGACATGTCGTGTCGGACCTTCCGTGGATCTTGGAGCTTCCGTGACCGTGAGGCCTTTCCTTCGTCCACCTTCAAGGCGAGGACGGAACACCACCCACCATCGTGACCTTCGAGGCTGCGGTCTATGCCTCCACGTCGGACTCCGCGATCCCGAAGCTTCGATGTGGGCAGCCTTTGGGGGTGCTGGTGGAGATGCAATGGCGAGAGCACATCCAACGCTGGCTAAAGACTGTGATCACTGCCTGGGTTCCGGAGAATCTCCCAGGCGTTGGTGAAATAGCTTTTGAATGGACAGGGGAAGATTTGACCGTTGGCCAAGGCAAGATGTATTTGCTAGAAGACTGTCATGTTGGACCTTCAATGTTTCGACCCCTCACAGGTACCCTTTGCACCTGGGTAGAGCAGTTTCGCACATCGGACGGAGCCTCCATGGTGGGCTGGACCCGCCGAAGCAAGCTCTTTTGAAGGTGGTTTGGATCCACCACCTTCCATGGGCAAGCTTTGTCCACATTGAGGATTTGACTGGAATGAAGGGTCTGGATTCTTAGACGGGAAATTGGTCCGAAAAAAGGCCAAGTGATCCCGATGGTCAAGCACGGAGGATGGGAATTACAATTATAGGGATCAATCTGTTTTTGGGGATGTGACAGCTCAGCCGCCAGGCCAAACTGTCATGCCGCTGTCCTCACCGCCCAACGGCCAGCATGGCCGGAGGAAAGGCTTGGCTGCGTGTGCTGGATGGGTGCGATGTCCCTTATGTCCGTCTTCAGGGCGTTGCTTCAACCGCGGAAGTGGCTTCAAGCAGCACCTGGCCTCGCTGCATGCAGACGAGGCCAGACATGTAGGTGGATTTTGTTGTTGGATGGTTTTATAATGTTCTATACGGTTTGATGGAAGAGGTTCCTTTCAACTTCTGCGCAAGCAACTGGGTGACCCTATCCGAGAGGTACACATTTCAATTGAATAGTCTGAGTAGTGATGATAACAGTGTTTAGAGTGACATAGAGTGTCTTGGTCTTCTTCTGCAACTCCTCAACTCCGTAAAACACAGGTCATGTGACCATGCATGACTTGGCATCTGTTGTGTCGGCCGTCTCGGTCTATCGTCGGTCGGGACAAGCTAAGCAGACCAGGCAGACCGCGACTTTGAGACCTGGGCTGCTGCAGTCGCTACACTGGCGGACTCTCAGGGCATCTTTCCCACCAGAGGCGACATGCAGTGTCCGCCGTGGACGTGGGGGTTTTCCCCACATCCCAACCGGAGATCCCCACACATCCGTGCGGTCGGAGACCTTGGGCCAGGACCTCCCAAAGCTGAAGCTAGTCGTAAGGTTGACATAGGTTTTCTGTAACCTCCCAGCCTCCCAGCATGAATCAAGCCCAGCTCGAGCCCCCCAATACAAAACGAATTTAAAACCTGAATTTCCACATTGACATCACGGTTCAAACTCTCATGGTTCACACAGAATCCCATCAGGTCCAGGTCATCACCTCATCATCCATCGTCAGGTCATCACCTTTATTAGGGGGATTTGGTCTCTCAAACCTTGCTGACCTTGAAGGGGGGTTTGATGAATCGTACGTCGACACTATTTTGGGGTAAGGGATTCTAGCACTTCATGCACCATTTTGCAGATCAGAACCGCTTCACATCAAAGACATGCCTCAAAGACATGCCTCACCAAAAGGGCGCTCCTCCTGCAGGAGGCGGCGTTCGAGGTCCCAGCGGTCCCACACGCGAAACGCCCGGTCGCGCCGCTGGAGCAAAGCACCATGTTCTGCCGACCGGGCTGATTGCAGCGCGAGATGGAGCCTGAAGGGGAGGGGGAGAAGGGGAGATGGAGGTACCTAAAGAGTTGTTGTATCATTGTTAATGCGTTGTTCTATGTTGCAGATGGGAATGAGGTCCGAGACTTGTTTCAACCGTTTGAACAACCCATGGTTTCACATGAATCTATAAACATATTTTAACTATAGTAATTTAATTAATTAACTATAGTTGGGGTGGCTCGAAAGAATGTAATTATAGTTGGGGTGGCTCGAAAGAATGTGTGCTGTTTATTTATACAAGATTACTTCATCATGCGGTAGATACAGATACATGTTTAGTTGGTGGCTTTCCCACCATGTTTGTGAAGAGTTGCAGCTGAAACTTAGATTACACCGTGGTGGGTCGCGTCTTCATGATCGTTCATTCCAGATTCCCCCGATTCTGGTGGTTTTCTCGAGCACAAACTCAGACTGGACACTGAGAATCTTTGGCATCGCCGTTGCCTGGCAGCTTTCCACTTTGGACACGGCGGGATGGTCCGAATTTCTTGGGTTTGTTTGACCACCCGACAAGAGCAAAGCGCCTCTCCGCCTCTCCTGTTCTTGAACAAATAGGATTCACTGACCAAACCGGTCAAGTTGGCGAAACTCTCGGTTGAGCTTTTTTTGCCGGTGCAAAAAGCCGAATAACTGCAGGAGATGCGGCTGCATTGGAAGCACAGCTGCTTGCAGGATGGCATCCATTTGCTGTAGGCCAGCAGGATCATAACGGCTCCAGTGCATTGGATTGGGCAGCCGGAGGAGGTCACCTGGAGACTTGGAAGGGTCATCGAAGAACTGGTCTGAAGCAGGTTTCAAAGGAACCTTCCAGGTTTGGGTGATTGATAGACCCTCCTTGCATGTGTTGACTATCCAATCACCACCCACACAGGGGGGACCTGTTCTTTTCTATTGGCTTCAGCCAAGTGGGCGTTCAAAGTGTCTCATCCTTCTGTCCAGACATTCCCCGCCTGTTCTACTTCCTTTTGGCTCCTTCCGCATGTCTCATACCTGGTCACACTCTGTATCCATACCGCCCCATGACGCATGCTGCAAACACCACAACTGAACGTAGAACATCGACGCAACATGACACAGAACATGCATTGGTCCATGCATCGGTCCGAGTCCTCAGCTACACTTGACATCGGTCCCCATGTGGCACGGTAGCTGAACCGGCTTTGGATCAAGGTCTCAGACTGCCTGCGAGGCCGGGAAGAGGGTCGCATGGCTCCCTAGAACGGAGTTTGGAGGCTCCGAACTCCGAATGCCAAACTGGGAATTTCTACTCCACTTCCACTGGAAGATCGGGAGAGTAAACCAGCAGAGCTTGACCTGTCAACTGGTTCCTTCACAACTCACCTGGAATCTAGATGCTGTCGCACGTTTCCGAGGATTGCGTGAAGCTGCTGTTGCCCTTGGCCTCCAACGTGCAGGTCTGCCGCCGCGACGGCCGGTCACCCCTCCACTGGGCTGCACGCTTTGGGCGCTTGGAGATGTGTCGCTTCTTGCTGGAGGCGGTCCCGGTTGGCGATGAGGTGGTTCACAGCCCAAAGCCCTGCAAATATATACATGTCCGTAATGCAAATGTATATTTGTATATATTTTTGTATACATATAATGTCCACCTCTAAATAGTAAACCGCCCCCTCCCCCCTTGATCAAGTGCGGGCCCTAAATAATGTGAAAGCAACAAAAGTCCTAAAACATATTGATTTGAATTGGACATGAAAGGAAAGGAAAGGAGATTAAAGGAAAGGAACATAGGTACATCAGGAGTACTCAAAGTTGAGAGCTGAAAGAGTTTGCATCCTGGGAGCCACCAAAACGCAAGTTTTAGGTTCGCGTCAAAGCCACATCTTAAGATACAGCACGTATGCATGTTCTACATATGCGATGAAACCTCCGTGATGAAATTGAAAGAAACATGCTGAAAATTGAAACGATAAGAACATATAAACAATAATAGTTATTGTATAAAACATACAAACTAAGCATTTAGTAAAAATATAACAATGAAACAAACATAGATCACATGGTAATGACGTAGATACAGCAAGTAAACAAAGTAAGGAACACATGTTTGTTAACACAATATCAAAACAAACAAGTGAACATGCAAAACATTGGAATTGAACATGATGAAAGTGAAAATTAAAAGGATTAAAGTGCAAATGTAGCAAAACATTATGATGATGACAAAGTAGAATACACAAATGAAGGAACATCATAATTACAAATACAAATAACAGCATCTGACAATAATAGAGTACAATTTAAACATACGTACAAACACAACATACATAAGTACCTTACAAAAAAAAAATCAAACAGTATCCAGCCTTGTACTTAAAAAGAGCACCCGCGGAAGCTGCTGGGAACCCGCCGAACCCTTCCAGTCGGTAACTCTTGAATTTCTTTGAAATGACTGACATGTCTAGAAATGTTTGAAAGGTAAGGAAAGGAAATTGAAAGGACAATGAAAGGAAAGGAAATGAACGCAATCAATGTAAGTAGTGCTGAAGGAATTGTAAAGGGGCTGGACCTAAATGACCATAGCCCTCAACAAAACTAAAGCCTTTCAGCCAAAAGGACATCTAAAGGAATTGTAAAGGAAACCACCAAAAGAACCAGCCAGGGATTGTTTAGTATTTTTTGAGGTCTGGAGTAATTGAAGGTTTGGGCTGCTTGTGGGGGATGGTCTTTGGGGGTTGATTTCAGGTTCCAAATGGCAATGCCCAAATAAACAAGTTTAAAAGGAAAATGCAGCAGCCAAATCAGAAATCCAGAAAGGATTGCCTTCAATAAAGCTCACACTTTTCAACCAAAAGGACATCTAAAAGAATTATAAAGGAAACCACCAAAAGAATCTGGTTTTGGAATCAGCTGAAAGTTCAGAATCAGCTTGGCCTGTGCGGACGCTGCGGCAGAACTCATGTGCGGCTAGGCCAAAATGAAAGTTGTGGCTCCATTTTCCGTTTTGCAGCGTATGCTTCGTTCATGGATAGTGCTCAGTCAAGTGCCCCTGCAGGCAGCGAGGATATACCGTTTTGTTCCAAGACTGTATGGCTTTTTCCGCATATGGTCTCGCTTATGAAAAGGAATGATTTTGCAATTTTACCGATTTATGTTGTTATTTTACCGATTTTGCTGGGCGTTATGCCTGTCATATCATTGCTTTGCCCGTCACCAGTGAGTGTTGCCCGCCACACTTACTGCCAGCACCAAGTGCCCCGGGCGCTTTAGTGTTTACGCCCTACAGTCTTCAAGTACCTATGTCAGGAATTATCGTCACGCACGCTGTGAAAATCTTTAGTTTAAAGAAACACAGCCTAAAGGTTTAAACACACATCTATATTTTGAGCACAGCCTAGAGGAAGAGGCGGCGCAACAAATGACGGTGATCAGTCGTAGTTGGTGAACCATATTCTATCTTTGGCTTGTCAAGGACCCACAAGAACCTGCAAGGACCTTTGTGGTTGCATTCCTTGATTGGGCCTTGGGCGGTCTTGGCTGCAAGGTGTCGTTTGCAAAGTCCTCGGCCTAACCCAATCATGACAAAAGGGCCCAAACTTCGGAACTGCGATTGTCTTAATGTGAGTCCTATGTTCTGTTTTGCAGCGGCCCATAGAGAAAGAGCCAACGTTTTTGCAGGCAGTCCGCCTTACCTAGCGTCACCTACCAGCTTGATCAGTCAGACTGAGGTGGGGTGGGGGATGTCGCCCAGCCTACCTGCTTGAGTACTACCCTGACTGAAGAACCAAAGGTGTCTTGGAGTGCAAACACTTGTTTTTTCCAATTTGGAGCTCCCTGTGACTGACTGCGCCCCCCCACGTTGCGCTCACTAGCACTGTCCTTCAACTTGCGATGGGTTGGCGACGGGTGTGACGCGGCAGGGCAGGGCCAAATCAGCTGTTCGACCTGCTGCTGGAGACGTTGGCGATGGCCATGGGGCATGTTGGCGGTTGGGGCAGCTGGCTGCGGTGGGCATGATGGTTTCCGGTTGGGGGCATGCCAGCAGCTCAGCTACTATATGTGGGGCGGCAGTACACATCAAGGCACGACTACGGCAGCGGGTATGATTACGGCAGCTCAGGCCATGGTCCTGGTGATGGGCCTGGTCGGGGTGGGCTGGCGCAGTGACCCCGCCTGACGGATGGCCGTGAAGATCGCAGCCGCTGGGGCACAGGTGGCACATGGACCGCCAACTACGGTGGCAGTTGGGGCCAGGGCGAGTCAGTGATAAACAAAGTGGCAGCCAGAAGCGTCACCAACACAACTAGAAACGAGACCAAGAATGTTTTCTCTCCATCCTCCACACACATGCCAGATCTGTGTACCCCATCTGCTGTGGGATCCGGCATCACAGGATCCGGAAACAATGCAGCCAAAGAGGAGCAGCACGACGAAGAAGGTGATTGGGTTTGGTTCGATGAATCCTGGAGGCGCAGCAGGGCGAGCTACTCGGATGATGGACCAGGGGCAGGAGCCACACCAGCGCCAGCTGTTACAGCCACTCCAGCGCCACCGCCTGCGGGGTCGGCCATCTTGGTGGAGGCATGAGACCCCTACCAGAACTGTTGTGCTGCGGTGCATGAAAATGAAGGGCGTGGACGACGAGCGGCCCTGCCACTGCTGTGAACACATGCAGGAAAAGCGAAATTCTTTGTGGTTTTCGCGCCCAAACAAGTTAGACAAAGTTACCGAACTTATATCTATAGTAACTTGTTTTAACGCCCACGTCCCCTAAGTTCGGTTAACTTATTATGTACAAGTACACCTAACTTGGTACAACTGGTAGCGGGCCTCGTGGTAGGGAGAATGTAAAGAACACACAGCCACGATGGATCACCAGGCAGCTAAGCCACCGCAAGAGCCCCATCTACAGGTGGCCAGAATGTGGAAAAGTCCCTCAGGAATCTCGCAAATGACGGTGTACTTGCTCATCTGTGCCCTCGAACTCATTCCCATTCTTTTGCAGGGAGAAGTCTCTTGGGTTTCATGACACAGCTGGTTTTGGTAAGACACCTGGCCCGCATTATTTGCACGGCCTTCTCCAGGTATTGGGTCAAGTGCAGCCGAAAGACGAACCAGGGTTCCGGACAGCTAGCAAACTTGATTTTTTCCGAGGCCAAGTGGGTCGTCTGACCATGATGGAACCTTCCAAGATTAAATCATCAAGAAGCTGAAGGCCTTTGATGTTGGCTTGGATGAAGCCATGACCAGAAAGAAAGGTGGGGAGCCGCAAAGTTCGCAATGTAAACGACTTCGACGCCAATGCTGAGCCCAAGAGTTCAGGTATATTTTGGCATCGGCGTGGCAACGAAATGGTATCCGAGTCTGTCCCAAAAGGTCCTTCCACTTTACCCCAAGGTCGACCTCCTCATATTCGATCGCTGCTGCCACTACAAGCCCTCCGCTATCAACGACCCAGACCTTTCGCAAATCAAATGCTTCCCGTTGGACACGTTCCATGCGTACCGCCACAAAGGCACATGTCCTTGCAGCCCATTGACCCAGAAGAGCCTCAACCAAGGAGTGGACTATATCAATACCTCAGTGACAGAGCAAACCTTCTCATGGTTCAGTGGCTATGCCAATGTCTTGAATCACATGCGCTCTCTGGCACAATGACCTCATATGACCTGATCCTTGCCAGAAAGACACGGTGCTGGAATCAGTTCAAGTGGAGGAAGCTTGCTCGCAAGATTTCTCGCAAGGAAACGAAGCGCGCGAGTCTTGAAGACCATGAAGGCGATGAAGTGATAGCTGCCATGTGTGAGAGCGTCCAAAATTTGAACCTAAAAGTGGAGTGTTTAGCGAATCTGTCGGAAGTACAGTGACGCCAGTACTCGGCAAAGCCGTTGTACAAACCTAGAAGACTCATGAACCGCGCCAGAGAAGAGAAATATACTACTTATCCAGAATGTCTTCTGCGCGACAAAGCTTTGGAACAAGTAGAGCAAAATACAAAAAACAATAACATAATACCAAAACACACACAACAAAAATACACAAAAACAATGTTTGAGACAAGAGAGAAACTGTCTTAACTATAGTGTTTTTTGTTTGTCTTTGTTGTTTTGGTATTCTTTCGAAACCTTTGTAGGCCTAGTCTGAACAAGTTCAATGACCAAAGTTCCCTCAAAACAGGTGTTGATCATGATTCAGCCAACAACCCTGTAAAGCACAGTGCTTTTGGCACATTACGCACGAAAACATCTCTCAGAGGAACACCTGTTTCCAGTAGGCAGGCTTGAACTTCTCTTGATTTTATCCGACCATGGTCCTCTTTCCTGTTGATAAAGAAAGGAAACGAAAAGAGTGAATAGGAAGAAGGAAGGGTCCAGCCGGGACCCGTCACCATCCAATCACAGAAGGTGCGTGTATAGGACTCTTGGCTAGATTTTGGCTAGGGTTTCAATTTGCCGTCAGCAAATATATATATATATGTTTGGAGGAAAAGGTTTTTCCTGCAAATATATACACCCCTTCCATCCCCTTCCAACACTCATGGAAGCTCACCAGAAACCCTTGTAAAGAAAAATTGTTTTCCAGGGGACTGCCTTCCACTTGCATGGTTGTTTCAGCTTTATGGTCCTTGGAACATTCTACGTGCCATATGCAATATTCATTTCAAAACATAGATTTCATTACGCATGGGGATTGCCACAAAACACTATGCCACCACGATATTTGTCTCTTTGCCTCTTTTTTTCATTAATGTCAAATTTTTGATACACATTTATGTAATTTAACAAAATATTGCTATTGCCTAAATTGATGATCCCAAATTTATGAAATCACAAATACAATTCAATATCATATGTGTTAATTTGTATCCTTCGTATTTTTCAAATTCAAACTCTTCCTCGTCCAATTCCCAAAGGCCCTTTTTCATAACTAGGATAGACCTATACGGGAAATCAATTCTTGAGAACTGCAGGAAAATTGCATCATCAAGAAAGGCACCCTCCTATCTGTCGTTGTAAGTCGGGTGGCTTTGAACAACCCGGGTTTCGTTCAGACATGTGCACAAGTAGCGTTGGTGGGTCAACTTGGCTGCCGTGTAATGTGGCCCGATTGGTGGACTCCACAAAGGTTTCAAGTTGGAAGTGGCAGCCACAGAAGTCACCTGACATGGCCTGGCGCCTTTCATTGCGCGACTGGTGCGGAACCAGTAGAAAAGGTGTAATTACGTGTTTGTGCCTTTGACCCACCTTTAATTTTTTTGTTTTGCCGTTTTGGATGATTTTGTTGATTAGAGTTGATTTTGTATGATTTTGTGTTTATGCAGCAACTCTGAACAACACCACACACCTCCCCCAAATAACTATATGCAGGCCCTTCAGGAAACGTTTTTTTGTGCAACACCTCACACCCCCTGGAGTCACGGCGCGCCTTTTTCACCTCCACGCCCGACCCACCAGGTGGGCTTAGGCCGTGTGGAGGACCGTTCCGCTGACGGCACCTCCCCAATGATGTTGGCGTGCTTCGGTGGTCACATCGATGTGGTCGAGCTGCTGGTGCAGAGTCGAGCAGACCTCTTTGCCCCTTGATGAGCTGAGTTCATCAGGTGAAAATGCACTCGTTGGGCAATGTGGGGGAAGGTTTCTGGATTTGAAAGCATGTGGTGTCTTCAAGGGGATAACCTAGCTGATCCTAACTGCCACCAGTTGATGTCGGTCTGATTCACCACTGCTCGATCTTTCCCGAGGCTCGGAACAGCTTCGACTGTGACGCTGGACACTTTGCTGGACTGGGCGGGAGCATCGAGGCCTGTCGCTGGCTGAGCGAGCACGGCATGTCGCTCCTGCGCCCACAGTGCTCCGGGCATACGGTGTTGCACAAAGCGGCGGAAAGAGGCCTGGGTGGCGGAGGGATGATGTTGGAAGCCGCTCAGGCGCTTGCAGGGCCTCCAACTTGGCGAAAAGGTGACAAAGAGCACTCTTGGTGTGCCTGGATGTCTTTGGTGTATATATATATATATATTTGATTGTGACTGGCCCTAAGAATCCTTGGACATCCTTGGACCCTCTATAGCACTGGTCGAACCCTCCATAGCAGGAGCTTGTGCTCGAACCAAACCCTTTCTTTTTTGGGTCCCGGATTCTTATAGTACTTTCTTGTTGGTTTGTGGGATTGTGTAGGCGGCTTGGACTGCTTGGGCGTGCCAGGCTGGCGCTGTAGCCCCCCTCAAAGGCAAGCTCTTTGGGTTTGGTTCAAGGATGACGGTAATCGATTTTGTATGATTTTGATGCTTTGTGTATTAAACACACTATCAAGTTCTACAGTGCCTTTGGTGCTGCATGGATGCACTGACAAGGAGATGTGAAACTTGTACTTTGCACTGTACTACCGTAGGTGGACGAATTATTCAAACCCTTGCAGAATTCACCCCCTTACCCCCCATAGTTCAATGTTGGCCTGTTGGTGAAGGAGGTTGGCTTGAGTGGACGAATCAAATCAAACCCCTGACAACAAAACATCTTTTTACTGAGACAACATTGAAATCGGGGGTGCGGGGGTGGCGATGGACCATGGTGGTTTAGGGTTTGATTAATTTGTCCATCTACTGTCTCAATTGTTTGGTTTTGTACATATCCCCATGCCAGAAATATTGGTTTAACATATCGCCTTCACCTTGTTCTCAAACATCATTGCCCATTGCATCTGCTGCTTGCTGTTGAAGAGTGTGTGTCTCCTTGGTACGGTACACTTGTGTCTTTTGCGTCTGTGCTGTGTCTTTGCACACGCTGTCAAAGGTACACTAACACTTGACGTATGAAGGTTAATCTTCTCTTCCACCCAAATCATTGCGCTTTCCAGGTCCTCACAATGTGGCGCCCAAATCGCTGCGCTTGTCCAGTTCTTAACTCCGGCGTCCAAATCACTGTGTTTTTCCAGTTCCTAACTCTGTTGGCGTCCAAATCACTGTGTTTTTCCAGTTCCTAACTCTGGCGTCCAAATCACTGTGTTTTTCCAGTTCCTAACTCCGTTGGCGTCCAAATCACTGTGTTTTTCCAGTTCGGCGTCCAAATCACTCTGTTTTTCCAGTTCCTAACTCCATGTCCCAGTTCCTTACCAGTTCCTTGCCAATTCCTTTCCCAGTTCCTAACCCAGTTCCTAAGCCAACTTCCCTATTTTTGGAAGTTCGTGCTCTGTTTATAGAGAAACTACAAAACCATTTCTTTTCTGAGATTCATCACGATCCATGGAGAAACGCAGGCGAGGGAGGTTAGGAACTGGGTCAGGAACTGGGAAAGGAATTGGTAAGGAACTGGTAAGGAACTGGGACAGGGAGTTAGGAACTGGAAAAACACAGTGATTTGGACGCCAACGGAGTTAGGAACTGGAAAAACACAGTGATTTGGACGCCGGAGTTGAACTGGACAAGCACAGCGATTTGGACGCCACATTGTCAGGACCTGGAAAGCGCAATGATTTGGGTGGAAGAGAAGATTGGACCTTCATACGTCAAGTGTTAGTGAAACTTGACAGCGTGTGCAAAGACACAGCGCAGACGCAAAAGACACAAGTGTACCGTACCAAGGAGACACACACTCTTCAACAGCAAGCAGCAGATGCAATGGGCAATGATGCTTGAGAACAAGGTGAAGGCGATATGTTAAACCAATATTTCTGGCATGGGGATGTGTACAAAACCAAACAATTGAGACAGTACTGGGTTTAGACGTGTTGGGAGAAACAAATGACACGAACGTGTCATTTGTTTCTCCCAGCACGTCAAAAGCCAGTACCGTAAGTGGACGAATTATTCAATCCCTTGCAGAATTCACCCCCTCACCCCCCATAGTTCAATGTTGGCCTGTTGGTGAAGGAGGTTGGCTTGAGTGGACGAATCAAATCAAACCCCTGACAACAAAACATCTTTTTACTGAGACAACATTGAAATCGGGGGTGCGGGGGGTGGTGATGGACCATGGTGGTTTAGGGTTTGATTAATTTGTCCATCTACTGTAGTACCTGAGGATGACTAGGCCTCAGCACATGAACATACATCGACATACATCGACAGCTTCCAACATCTTCCAACCGTTGCAGGTCACTTGCCACTGGCTTCCTTCTTGATTTCCAGCTTTGGTGAGGAAGACTTGAAGGCCCTCCGCAGTCTGTGCCCCTTGGGGAGTGACATGGAAAGCCTTTGGCACAAAGCCCACCTTCCATCTGCCATCGCACGCAAGCATGGCCATTCGGAGTGCGCCCGGGAGCTTGAAAAGCTCGCCTTCTAAGACCACTCGGAGCTGGACGGTCCGGTACGTATATATTTGAGACTAGCGGAATTTGGATGATCGTTCGAGCAGATGACCCGGATACTGTTCGTCCCCGGATTCGACTGAAAACGGAAGATGTTGGGGGAAGAGTCAGGCTGGATCAAAGCTGCTGCTCCGGACCATTGATGCTCTCATTGCTGCAAAGTGGATGCCACGATGCGATACGATGCGCTGAGGTTGCTGGAATCAATCACCCATGCAGAGAAAAGCTAGGAGATGTAACTCATTGTAACTCATGTTGCTGCGAATCTCTGATAGGATTTCCTTTCTTGAATGTGCATGGGCAACAGCAAACAGAGTGAATTCTGTTTCGCTCAGAAGAGACTTTGGCACTCGAGGATGAGTCTAGATCATTCCAGAAGCAGGGATGTGCACGGCGAAAAAGGACACCCAAATCGACGGAGCAGAGGTGTGCTTGGCTTGGAGCAGAGTGGTCTTTGGCACGTCGTGTTGATCCCAGATGTATCTTCTACATCTACATCCCAGAAGATCCCACTTTAAGTGGTACAAGTCGTCCCGTATATACTCGGCGAATCTCGGCACAAAGGTATCTTCTGGATCTCCTCCTCAGTACAGCGCACGTTCGGCTTTGGTCATTTGGGTCGCTGCCCGTCCTAGTCTTCCCAGCTGAGTTCAGCGATGACATCGCTACGATGAATCAACAGGAAGAGAACATGGTTTGTTTGGACCTGACAACATCAGGATTGATGGTTTTTGGGTCCTGCTTTGTGGAGATGGGATGAGAAGCGGAGAAGCACACTTCTTTGCTGACATCACCTGACTGTCTTTCCGGCTGCTGTGACCCCAGGAACAGCTTCACCCTTGACTTCAAGCGATGGCTCATGTGTGCTTCGTTGACTGGAGTGTAGACAGGTGTGTGTATAGGACGAAGTCTGACTAACCTCTGTTTTGATAGGACGAAGACCAGATATTTTGGATAGTTGTTCCTCCAAAACAGGGTCACTCAGGCGACGTCGGTAGATACAGGAAGATAGCACTCCATGGGACTGGCATAGGACTGTCGCCCCAAAAAGGGGTGGTTGAAAAGGGGTCAATGTGGCTGTATTCCATACATAGATGGAGTCGTTGGAACAATTATTCTTGCGGATTTTTGTTGAGCACCCTGCATGATTCTCATCGTACAACCTCATCAGCCTACATGACTGGTCAATCTGGTCCAGTCATTCCGAATTCCCCAATGGAAATCATTACATTCAACCTTTAAGTGCGAGACCTATGTTTCTACATGTTTCTACAAAGGGAAACTACACTGAGTGCGGGTTTGTACAAGGCGCCGGCAAGAAACACATTCCATTTGCCTTCGCCATTCGAAAACTAAGCGGAACCCAGCTGCTCGGTTTGCCTGAGGTCACAGCGATGTAGAGTGGCCGAGACAGAGCGGTGAACCAGCTCTTCCGCTGAGCCAAAGGTAAAAGGGGCCGATGCAGAACAGCATTGCGGAACAGCATAGGCTCACTATTCCAGTCACACCAGAACTGGACATGTATGGAACAGATGCCACATCGGCCTGATCGGTCGATTGCTCTTCTTCCTCGTCGCTAGAGAAGGAGAGCTCAGTGTGTATTAGGGAGACTTCCCAGTTGGACCTCTGGAAGAAGGAAAACAAGACAGGTGGTAATTACCCCTATTACAATACACATCACTAGACACTCAGCTGGTACCTTACCACAGAATCATGACCAGCTGCAAGCAGCACCGGTTCAGGGCCTTGCCAGTGCGAGCGCTCGCAGCACATTTTCAGCCAAATTCCAACAACAGCCGCTTGAGACGGGTTGCCAGCCTGCTCGCAGCCTGATCGCAGCTGGTATCAGGTTGGTCACCCTGCTAGGCACTGTCCTTCCCTGGTGCAAAGGAAAAGCTTGGATGATCCTGAACAGCTTGGTTGAAGACTCTAGTCTCTATACCTGGTTCTTCACTGTGACATTTTCATCCCGGGTTTGAGGTTACTTAGACCTGTAACAGGTCACTTAGGGCTCCAACAAGGTTATATTTTGAAGAAGCTGGTAGTCTACGAAGTCTCGATCCCCAACATCTCCCCAGACCGAGAGGACTGGCGCTGGCGCCAGGCTGGTGCCAGTCGATCATGAGTCATGTTTCGATGATGTTCGATGCATTGTCCAAGAAATTGATGGTCGAGTCATGATTCTTACATGTTTCTCACAGGTTTTGCTGGAGGCGATCATCCCTGTCGATGTTTCTCACTCACATGTCATCCCGAGGATCATGCAGCTCTCAAGGAGAGCTCTAGTGCTCTTTGCCGTGGCTGCGACTGGGAAGCAATTCATCCGGGTCAGGATCCGATGGGTACGTAGCTCTTGTATCCTTAAGATGACTACAGAACGACTGCAGGAGGACCACACAGGAGCCTCCACATCCACCTGAGAGCCTCACGAAGGTTACCTCAGACCGATTATCCACCAGGACTCCGAAAAAAAGGAGGGTCCAACCCGACGACCCGTGTCCCCACTCCTTGTTCCTAAAAGGAACTGCTGTGTACCGCCTTAATCGACCTCAGGGAACCTACCTGGGTTGCCAGTAACTGCGGTCCTCAGTGGCTGGTTGACCTGTGATCCAGTTCATGTGTCAACCATAAGGAGCTGGGTTCTTTTGGGAGGGCTCTCTCTCTCTCTCTCTCCTCATCTCTCTTCGATGTCAGAATGTTTTGTGGCGGCAGGCACAAGTACGTACGTATATGGTACCAAGATGTACAAAGATTTTGGAAACATACCCAAATCATTCATGTGAATTATGTGTGGATTTGCATTGCAAGGAATGTTTTTGCCAAAGCCCAATCCCCCTGCATGGATGAGTTGAACACTTGAAGCATCTTGAAGCATTGGACATGGTATGCTATAGTTTCTGCATGTTTTTGCCAACCAATGCAGAGTTGGTACAGTAGTTTTAATGCTATCACACTCAGTATTATGCGGCATTTTGCTCGGCAACTCAGAATTTTTGACTTGGTGCCAGAGCTCCAACGGACGTGATTATTTGAATAAATGACACTCCATGGCCTCACGGATGCTCCAGGGCTTCCTGGTGGACCTCATTATTGCTGGCACTGATTTCCACCTGGGCCACATCTCTCACAAGGATAGCCATGCCAGCACCTACGAGTCGGTTTGGCACTCAGCAGATTCCGTGCCATTACTATAGGCGCCACTAGATGGGTATGTTTGAACGCACCAGTCAGAGAACGCGGCCGTTCTCTTCCACGGGCAGCACTGTGGTACAGTTCATCAGTTCGGTGACCGCACGGGTTGGGCAACAAGAGGTTTCCGGTGAAGTGCTTGGATCGGGATGAAGGTCTGACCTGTGTACTTTGCATGAAACATACACTTGAAACAGATGGTTGGTGACCAAAGGAACTCCATGCAACATCAAGGCCCGGACGGCATTTGGAATCTGCAAAACAATTCAAAACACTGGCTGGTGGATATCATGTTCAAGCTTTTGGCTACATGGTTTGCTTCGTGCATCTGAAACATCAATTTGGGCGCAACGACACGCGCAGACGCAAACCCGGCGCAATGGGTTGTCCAGACGCATGGCTTTGGACGGCCCGGAGCGCCGACAGACGAGCGGACAGATGAGCGAGCGAGGCCACTTCTGACACCCTCACGTGCTGTTTGGTGCGTTTAGTGGTTGCTTGGCGGGAAGCAGCGCTGCGGGGTGTTTCTTGGGCGGAGGAAACGGAAGATTCTTGAAGATTTGAAGGGTTCGCGATCAGAACCAATGAGTCATGTAGAGGGAAGATGTGGGACAATGCGGGAGACTAGCCCAGGTGTCGGCAGCTTGGTTCTTGGCTCACCGGCACAAGAGCCAGTGGCCCACTTGTGGCCTGTTGTTTTTGGCGTGCGTTTGCGTCCCAAGATTTGTGAGCAATGAGTAGCACCAAAGCTCCATTGAATTGACCGAGCTCTTCTTACGCAACCAGGGGGGTTTGCTACCACAGTTCTTTCGTATCCTTGAACTTTTTGGACCCTGACACAGGACATTCCACACATTCCACACGATTTCACTCGGCTCAGGGGGTTCTTTCCTGTCAGCTTGAAGAGTGGAAAGACACGCTACGGACCGTTGTGTAGGACACTTGGTTTTCGCCCGTCTCGACCCACCCCGGACACGTCAGCTCTTCCCGTTGAGGTTTTTCCCGTGATCTCGCTCTTGGCGCTCTTGGTTTACCGAAGCACTGAGGTGACCGAAGATTGGCATGGGGAAAATGAACGGATCAGATCATGCATCCCTAGGGATCCCAAGTACCTTCTCAGAAGGTGATTGGAGACATTCTTATGTATAGGTTTTGAGGGTCCAAGTACCTTCTGAGAAGGTACATGGATCCCTAGGGCATGTCACATTCCATGGCATTCCCATTTTTCTCCAGTGATGTCGGAAGACGGTATGTTTTTGGTCAACGTACTCCTGTTCGGATGGTCGTTTCATCGTCGGATGGCCAAAGCCTGGAAGAGGCAGATACCCGATGACTTTGAACGGGTCTAAAAGATCTAAAAGCGCAACTTTGCTTGAGACATTCAGACCTTCAGGCCATTTATTTGACTCTGAAGGGGGGCTAAAAAAGGGCTTTCTGTTGAAGGAGGTGCAGATCAAAACCATCCTAATGTAAGCATAATATATGACATACATGGAGTGTCTTGGGGATTTTTGGTACCTTTTGCATACGCACCGGTCCACGTCCGCACGTAACACGCGGGAAGTCGGTGGTCACCACTTCCCATGGAGCTATCCAAAGTGGTGCAAGGATCTGGTTGATTCACACGATTGAATGGGCCACGGCGCGCTTGATTCTGGCACGTATATGCACGGATAGTTGCTTGAGAAAGAGCATGTTATCGGGAAGGAACCTATATCGGAACGCTGTTCCCTTTTGTCCCCAAGAATCCCAAGAACCATGTCACCATGTTTAGCTTTGAATAGCGTAATTCAATAAAAGAAACGGCTGGCCATGGAAACACTAAGGCATGACTCCTGTCACACGGCTCTTCCAGCCGTCACACGGTCGCCGGAGCCCGGCGCGCGCGGGAGGCCCGGTCGCCTCTTCGGAAGTTGCAACGGGAGCAGGAGGCCGGAGAGCCGGCGAAATCGCCGGAGACCGGGACGAAGAAGGAAAGACCATGTTCTGATTTTCCTGGTAAAGCCTTGGAAGAAACTGTGAACAAAGAACACATCATGAAACATCATGAAAGAAAGGTGCTACCAAGCTACAGACGGACCATCATATGTAAGTATAGGCCTTCAACATAGGGGTTCCATCTAACCTATTAGGGGTCAGATGGGGTCAGTATATAAACCACATCTCATCTCCCGCCCTAGATCGGCCACCTGGCCGAACTGCCCTCAGGCCGAGGTCTCCTCCTCGCCACCACGGAACGGCAACGAGCTGCGCGTGCCCTTGGCCGAGGCGTTCTCCGGGTCCGTTCCGGGTCCGTTGGAGCCAGTGAATTGCTAAGCTGCACGACGAGAGGCATCTAGGCATCTACTGTTGGTTGAGATCTGTGGTGGCCCTCAAACATCTCGGTTTGGGTTCCTATGGGTTCCTAATCAGGCTAATGATAATGTTTGTTTGTGTGTAGCTTGCTTCCAACTTGCTGATGTGGTGCGTGATGTACAAAAGACTGATGAGTGCCACGTTCTGAGACGTTGGCTGCCTTTGGGTACCAATCACGAAGCTCGACTCCAGCCGAAACCTTGCTCGATCGCCGTGAATCAAAGAAACGGCCGATCCTAGCAGCCAGCGTTGGGTGGTTCAACAAGATTCCCGTCACCTATGTGGCTGTGGGTCAAAATCCGGTAGTCTATTCTGTTTACCTCGCGGACAACTCCAGACATGGGATGTCGCATCCACGACTCTCTGATCGATGAATGCCCAATGCACAAACTATTCTGTTTATTCCTGGTGATCAACCGGTTCAGTCTACGTTAGCTTCACACCTGAGGCATACTCGGACCTCGAAGACTCTTCGTTTGTTCGGTCATCCCAGTGCGGAAGCGCCGAGCACTGTCACGGTTGTGGTCAGAATCCATCCGCAGACACCCCCTGGGACTGCCATATATGCCGATCAGTTGGGGTGGGTTTGAGAGTTAAGGTATATACGGACACTCCATGTATGCCATATATGCCTACATTGACACCCCAAACCACCCCAATGGGGCGGCATATATGACAGTTCCATGGAGTGTTTGGTATAGGCATACATGGCATAATGAGCTCGTGTTTGGGATCCATTCCTTCATCAATCTCTTCTCCGAGCGAGACAACCAGACTTCAAATGGATGACAACCAGACGTTGCTGGCCCCCAGAGCCAAGACAAAGCCTCCTTTTCCACCTGTTTTACCGTGATTTGGTGGTGATTCTTTGAAAGGTCCAACAGAGGTTGAAGGACCCGAACCAGACTATCCCAGTTCGGTACCCCAGGTTATGGTCCTTTGTCAGGTCACTTAACCTCTCTTGGGTTTTGTAGGTGATCCCACCTACTTCCTGGGACTTAGCAGCGGCCTGTGGTTTTGCCGAGCCGAGCCCAGCTATACCGCTTCCTCGTGGGTCCAACAGGCCCCAACCCGGACCCGGACCCTCGTCTCCAGCACCAAAGAAACCAAACACCATGCACCACCATGCACCACCCAGTTCCACTGGGTGGGTATAGAATTGATGGAAACTACATGGCGCCATGTTAATAAATCAATCCATTCTGGCCGGGGCCGGGGTGGATTCTGGATTTGAATCCACCGTGAACATGAAGGTCTCTCAGTCTGGTCGTCTGTGCAGGATCACACGACTCCCAGCCTTCGGTCGCAGGAACCTATCCCGATGCAAGTGGTCAACGGCGTGAATGGTGAAATGCTCAGCTGTTTGGGTTGACCCCATCTCTCTAAGACATCTTCGGGGCCCCGGGCCCCCCGGGCCAGAGAAACCTCTGAAACCACCACTAAGATCCGCCATAGGTGCGCCAGACTCGCAGCGACGTAAGCGAGTTTGTCTGGGGCACAGCCCAGTGCATGAGCAGTGCCTACAGAAAAAAGACATGTCTGTAAGGCGGATCAATGTGCCTCTTTTTGTACAGAAAAAACGAACACATGTCCGTAAGGCGGATCAATGAACATGGTCAGGATTGCACATGAGTCGATGTGAAAAACCTGATTCCCTTTCGCCGTTCTTTCCCTAGTAACGGGCTGACCGAACTGTCCACCTGTTCTGCACATGGTCGGCCATGCCATACAAACCACTGCCACCAAACTTTTTCCATATTGTGCCATCTACTCTCAACACAGCTTCTTGCTACTAGTAGTAATGCCCTTAAGGTTACTATCGTAGCGATACCCTTGTCAAAAAGCCGGGCGCTTTACGATTGCTTCAGCGCCAGCCCAGAGAGACCGTTTTTTGCTGCGATAGAAACGATGGAAAGGCCTCCCACCAAAATGCTTCTCAAATCCAAAAGTGCTATATATATATATAGATCGATATATTTTTGCGGGATCTCCTTTTGTGGATTTTTCCGCCACTCGTCCGACTCGTCCAAAACGAGTCCGCATAGAGTCGTATGACCAGGCTTTGTTCGGATGTGTTGGTCCGACCAGCCTGTGACTGTTCCCGTGTTCCGGCGAAGGTGTTCTTTAAAACAAGAGGCGTAAACGGCGCAAACGAACGTGAGAATTGATTGGTGAACGACCATTTGTTCCTCTCCAGTCCCGTGATTTTTGGGGGTTCCATGTTAATCTGCAGGGGAGAAACACATTCTTTCTGTTTTCACTGCCCGTGTCAGGTTTTCTTGCTCGCGTCGCGCGAAACCTCTTCTTGACCTGTCAACTCAAGGTAATTAAAGCCTGTACAGCTGTCAACTAGGTGATGGTTTCGGATATGTTTATTTTCAACCCTTCCTTGGGATGATTGGTTCAAGGGTTGAAAGCAGTCAACAGCCTGTGGATATGTTTCTCTCTGGACAGTCTTGTTTTTCCAGGTCACCACGTCCCAAGTCAAAAGCATCTAGCTAGCGACTTTGTGACAGATTGCAACATAAAGACTTTAGCAGAGACAAGCAAAGATTGGTGTAGCAAAGATTGGGGTAATTACAACCATCCTAGGAATAGTTGGAATATAATATGGACCACTCTTTTCAAGCATGGCCATGAGTGGCCTTTGGGATTGTACAGTGTTTTGTCTATTGCAGGACTATCATTAATCATCATTACGACCCAACCTCCAAGCGGAGGAGACTTGCCAAGGTCACAGCAGCAGCGTGGCGAGCAGCGCGAGTAGTGTGGCGACGTGGCATCATGCTGGTCCCGGAGCGGTTTCAGCCCTGGGGCAAAGTCTGTAGTTTCAGCCGGGGGGAGGCAACGGAGGTTTCTTTGCCGAACATGGTTTGTTTGGGTTTGCCATGGTTTGATTGGGCCAGGAGTTCTTATTGAGGGGTATGTCATATGTCTACTCGCAAGATCACCACCCTGGAAACTAGTTGAGGATGTGTCACTTTCAAAACCCAGTTCCTGGCCACAACTCAAGCAGTGCTTGTTTGGGGGGGTTGCTGAGAAGGGCATTGTTCGCGTCATTTTTCTTCACCAATCAGCACCTGGAAGCCACACACACACACCAACAACATATGCTTAAACAGCGCTCGGAATAGACGCTGTTTTCTAGAACACTCAAGTTGATGTTAGACCCTAGAGTCTCTAGAGACTCTATGGGTGACCCAAAGCACAAACACTGAGGGACTTACGTTGTTTATCTCCGCTTGGACGACTCGAGTCGGTCAGACCTGAGTCTCGTGGGTGAGTGGGGCAAGACAGGGCTGCATGGTGCCATGGTCATGGCATGACCTGCAAGAAGGATGGTGGGAAGTGCCTATTCTGGTTGGTCGTTTTCATGTGTACTTTTCACCCTACTTGGGGAATGACTTAGACTACTTCAGTTGATTTAATGTTGACTAATACTTTTTGGGACGGGTTCAACACTTTCCAGTTATAGCATGTTATAGCGTGCTATAGCTATCATGTTCAAAGGTATATATGATTATATATGTGTAATATATGAATATGATGTATAATATACTATATACAACACTAGACAGCAATCGCTGGTCTACCGAAAAGGCGGATGTCGCATGTTCGCAGACCAAGGACATGTTTGCGATGAATCGCGACCACGCCTTGCTCATGAAGACGCTGGGTCTGTTGATGTTCAACGAATATCTTGGGAGGATTATCTCCTGACTCATATGTGGACTGGAGCCACCAAGCAGTTTGCTTCTTCAATTCAATTCGGTAAGCTGAGAAGACTGTTGGAGTTTCGCAGTCAGTCTTTGGGCGAGATGTAGCTGGAACGAGGCAGCCTTTGGTGTTGGATGGTTGATGCCAAGTCCAAAAACTCATCACGCCGTCAAGTGCCTGCACCAGTCTGCTACGGTGCGGTAGTGTGTAGAATTGTGTAGACTTTCTGCAGGGGGTTGTTTCATTCAATGAATCTGGAAACCTTTATGCAAGTCTGTACCTTGCACTCAAGTTTCATATCTAGACCAAACACACGTGGCAATTCCTGCTGCTGATTTGCAGTAGTCGCTAAGATTCACCCTTTTTTCCAGACACTCCATGCACCGTTTGGCTGATAAAGACAACACCTTTGAGGAATAGCAGGCATTCTTCAGAAGCTTCAACTTGAGCATCCCTACCAAGAGAGGTTAAGTGACCTGACAAAGGACCTTACCTATGATATAGTCTAAAGGGTCCTTCAACCTCTGTTGGTATAATCCCAATCCTATAAGATCAAATCCTCGCTTGGAAGCGGAAGCCAAGGCCAGGCGCTGACCAAAAAGCACGTCCACAGCCTCCCTCCCTGTCCCTCCCCTTTGTCTCAAATATATACCCAGGGTCCGGAGTTGTTTTGATTTTTTCTTCCGGGGATTCTTCCCGAGCTGTTTCATGAAAAGGAATCAACACGATACTTTGGAGCTTGAAACGAGGTTGTTGGATGTCGTTGGTATCCTTCCCATTTGTATACATATACATATATATATATTACCTTATTTGGCTTCTCTTTGCTAAATGGGAGACATCGTTCTTTTTCAGGTAATCACGGGATGGTTCTAGCGAACACGGACAATCTGAAGACTCTACTTAGCGTTCAGATGATTTTGCACCAGTTGGATTTGAGCATGGGGCACATTGTGAGGAAAGCCAACCGCCAACCGCCAACCGGACCAACTCTTCCCTTGAGGAAGGCCAACCGGCGGAAAGAGTTCATCATGATCTTCCTCTTTGCGGTGAGCACAGGCACATGAAATTTGGGTGTGGGTCAAAACCTGCACATGATGTACATATGCCATAAGCCGATTGTGATGACAACATTGTGTGTGCTAATTTGTATAATGTGCGAATCTTATTTAGCACAACCACCCCTTAGCAAGCAATCGATGGAAAATGAATAGAGTCAAGCCCACCAAAAGTAGTAGTAGTAGTAGAAGTAGAAGTAGAGGTAGTACAGGTAATAGTAGAAGTAGTAGTAGTAGGAGTAGGACAGTAGGAGTAGTAGGAGTTGTTGTTGTGGTAATAGAAGAGCAATATGTTTTGTGTCCTAAAGCTCCAAGTATACTTATTAATCCCACCCCCTAAACAATTCTTGTTATTCACTGCCCCTGGGCGTGTAAAAAACCTTCTTGAAAACATGAAGCAATGAAATCGATGAGTTTAAAAAGGTTTGAAACAGGTTTTTTTCTAGTAAGATTTCCATGAATCAAGCAAAACTCAGAACAGTTAAGCAACGATCTTAAAGGTCGGCAATAGCAGAACAATAGAAACGTAAGCTTGGATATTGTTCCTAGGGCGAAACATAGCTGTATTTTTGCCACCCATTATAAACTGAGAATTATTTTGCAACAACCTTTGATTATGTCCTTCCCATTTGACTCTGTGGGTTTCGACGTTCCATGGAAAGCATCCGTGTTCATATCCCCTACCCGCCCATAGGCATGAATAGGGCATAGGGTGCGGGTCGTTGGTTGGCCATTCTCATGTCGATGGGTCCTTCGGTCAGTCTCGTGACGCCAGAGGCTGGAGGCTACTCCCAAAAGCTGCTCGGTCCCAGCCGTGTTTGAGAAGGTCCGGTCTTGTTGGTCCCTGTAGGTCTTCTCCAAGAAACGACACATGAGCTACCATGTCGACACCGATGGTTCTACCAAATCGTTTCGACCAATCGCTACTCGACCAACCAGCGGACCAGGTCCAAAGGTCCCTATTGACAAATTGAAGTGCCTATTGAAGGGTAAGAGTATCCATTATTCAATAGTATTCATATGCAAGTCCCTTCATCCCTTTGGCCGCCAGGCATGTCCTTTTACAATGGCATCAAGTGCATTGTTTATCACTATGATCCGCGCTTTCTGGTTCTGCAAGGGACCTTGCAAGCTCTCACTATGGTCATCATCAATGTGGCTTCTTGACCAAACTAAGTCGGCCATCCCTCACGTAGGACGTCAGCGGATCCCAAGAAGCCTGTTCTTAGTTGTAGTTTTTGGCCGCAAAGAACCAGAAGAATGCACCGCCATTGCTTGATATTGCTTGATTGTATAAGTTTCTGTGAAAGTTTAGAGGGTCATGTTTGCGCGAAGATTTTGCAAAAAAGATAGTCAACTAGGTAAGCTTAAACCAGTTGGGCCGAGTCATGATGATGATTATGATGATGACGACGATGATGATGATAATAATGATGGTTGCATGCAGTTTCCTGACATGTTCGTGGACACTGGAAGGAGGTTCTAGGTGAATGTTCTGCCAACGACACAGCTCGAGGAGTACTTTATGTTGAAAACTATCTTGAACAAGTTCACTGAAGAGCAAGGTGAGCTACTCGTCCAGAAAGGTTTTCAGCGACTGCCAGATGAAGCTCGAGGAACGCGTCTTGCGTCTACGAAGATGTTCACTCTTCAGAGGTGACGAGTGTGGACTGAATGGTTTGCTGCCTGGGCCTGGGCCTTGCCGATGTCCAAGTCGCATACGGTTTCGGTCCTGGTCGTGGCGTAGGGGTCATGCAGGGGTCATGTAGGAAACGCAACACCTCACAGCCGAGCTATACGAGCCTCCTGGGTGTTGCTTTTGTGAAGCCAGTTTCACGCGGAAAGAAGGCAGAAGGATGTTTGTAAGTTGTTGTTTTGGTGCATTTCCTGGTTGAAACAAGCCCTCTTTGCTCTTTTTTCAATGCTTTTTCTCTGCTGTGGGAGATGAGGCTCATCGCGCACATTCACATGCACCCCCTGTTCTTTGAAACTGGACTGAAATGTCACGGCTGCGACATTTGCAGTGACCAGATGAAGGCCGAAAGAGGGGTCGACGGGTGGGTGAAGACGGTGGACCCTCCTGTTTCACCCTTCACGTGACCAGACTGGTGGAGTGGTGACCCATGGAACCCCTGGAAAAGGAGACGAGAGGATCTATCTCTTCACTTGATACAGTTCTGGCTCTGTTCCAAGTTTCTCAGCACTGATCCTTTTCCATTTGTTGATGCCATTGTTGATGCCAATCGCTGGCTGGAGACGATTGGCTACGATTGTTGGAAAGATAGCCGAGCGATGACGCGTTCGAACCGAAAGGAGAAGGCATCTTCATCGACTGTTTCAGCCGGAGTAGGACATGTGCGACTGTCGAAAACGCACCAAAAAGCACTGGAAACGCGAGTATTGAAACACCACTCCATCCGTAGGAAACACGCTTCTAATCGTAGGCCCATGTGAGAGACCAATTTGCTTTTTTATGCGCTGGACTAGATGCAAGTTTGGTGGTTTTATGATTCATGAAGTTCCCTGTGGTCAAGCGTGAATACTGCAGAAGCACCAAACGTCATCATCATCTACTGTTGGACTGGAAAATTACTCAGCAAGACATCTTCTGAGTATGTTGCAATAGTTGTTCACCACCTCCTCATGGCTGTGACGCGTCTTCCAATCAAGCAACCAACCAGCCAATCGTTCTTTTCCGCACCACATAAACTTGGAACTTTCTTAGAAGATGAGGCCCCAACATGTTCTGATGCTTTTGGTGGGCGTCCCGGTCTCTTGTTTCATCTTGTTTCTCTTGCCTTTTCTACATGTTTGATCGGGTAGCAACATGGTCACCATCGGGTGATTTAGGAATTCATATGTTTGCAGTAACAGGTATAGCTGGGCAGCTCTGGAGCAACAGGAGCAACAGGATCCGAGCTGACATCGACGGAGATCCCCTGAGGTGACCCGTCCCCCACGCGTCTTCCACCGGCGTAGTGCGCGCCCTGACTGGCAGGGCCCCCACTACGTGGCCTATCGGTGCCGTACCTGCGACTTTGATTTGTGCCCAAGATGTTACAAGCAGAGTCTTGGGTTTGCAGATTGACCTTGATTTTGCCAGACAAATACAATCGTGGGGAAGGACACCTGCCCAATGTGATCCAAGATGTTTGCACAAATTGCATATTTTGGCAGATTTTGGGGTGTTTGAGAATTGCATGAGTTTCCTGTTTTGTTTTTGATGGTTTGAAAGGTAGGTAGATGAAACTGATGCTACCAATGAGACGAGCCAGAAGCACGATGAATGACCTCGCCACTTCAAGTCCGGAATTGGTACGTTCCCTTACAGGTTCCGAGAAGTTTTCCAGTCCTCAATATTGTCAAGCACTTTGGCTGGGTTGAAAAGAAAGACCTGAAGGATCCTGAAGGTGGTTTTCGTTGAAGAGATGCTATTATCCAGACACAACTTGTTGCTCTTCAGATATTTCAGCAACAACGAACACAAAACGCCACCTTGACGTTTGTTTCAACGCACAAACACTTGTATCCATGGCCTCCTCTTGATGCGGAGGCCAGGCCACTAAGGCGCCGCCGCGGCCGGGATCAGATCGCATGTGTTCTTTTTTCACTTGTGATCTTTCAAACACTGGCAGCCGCTGGCACCTGATGGTCTGGGGTTTACTATTTCGTGCAGAATGCAAGACATAGTTGATGAGTACCTCATTTCAGACTTCACCTTGTGTTTCGATCGACCTGCGTTTATTGCGGTGGAGTTGGGGTTGAAACTAATGACTATGAGGGCCCTCCATGCTGGAGTTGCTTTTTCAAACGGTTACCGCCCGGTGTTGGGCACCGTGCATCGTCGTGCACACTCAGGGTTAGATCCATATGTTTGAACGCTTGCCCCTTGGACATGCGTGGGTACCATGTTCTATGAACAACAAGGCCTGCTACCAATCACCTGTCGCCGTCGCCACCAATACAAAATCCTGCCCAGAGTTTGGTCGACTCAAATAACATCATACTTGGTCCAAGAACGGAAGGCTTTCAATGGCTTTTCATTGGCCTTTATGCACCTTTGCAAGTCGAACGCGATGAAATGTCCCACCAACAAGGGAATTCTTAAGGCTGTAGCATACACAACAAAAGACAATGACAACAAACAATATCAAACAATAACAAACGTTTAAAACCATATTAATATATATATAATATAACCTCTTTTAGGGATCACATTTAAAGAAAACAACAACAAACACATAATTAAGTGCAATGCACACCAAAAACCCACAAGAAGACCATATAGGTGAAGACCATTTAAACAGGACTGGGGTTCCTAAAAGTCCTAATCTTAAGCATCGAATCGAACCCTGGAGCCGGTGGTCCAAACCGGGGCGCGCGCAACCAAGCCGCGCCTCAGGAAGGATAAGACCAGCGCCAAGGGCTTCGGAGCTCGATCCTTAAGGGGCAACGGTGAGCAGATTACCACCTGGACCTACTTCCGACGGATCGTGACGCCTGGACGGATCACGAACCACCGAACCACCATGCTTCGATGACCTTCTGGAGAGAACTGTTGTTGTTGTTGTTGTTTCCGGTTTGTGATTCTTTAAGCACAAGACAAGAATGCAGTGGTGAGATGTTGTCTTTTTGTCCGGAGAGGTCTTTGGATGAGTTAACATAAATGGGGGGCCATGAAAACAGTGTGCAACATGGATTGAGCATGTTTAAAAAGACACAGAGAAAGGACACCACAGCGAATCAATCCGTAAAACCCTCTCCGTCGAAAATGGCCTAAACCCGTTATCGCCATGGACAGTAGTAGCTTTACAAGGGAAGGAGAGCGAGCAGGGAGAGCAGGGAATGATGTCCAGTGAGTTGCTACTAAGCTACTTGTTTAGCTACCATGATGCACCACAGAATGAACTTCTCTTTGTCCTCATGCCTGCCACATTGTATACAACACATGCGTACAGTGCAGCAAACAAATATAGTAAGCACATGTTGCAGCCAGTGCATGCACTGCAACACCACAAGGCATCAACAGCAAACAGGCTCAACATGGTATAGGGAAAGGTCTATTTTTAGTTGTTGTTGTTGTTGTTGTTGTTGTTGTTTTTGCCAGACAGTTTATATAATTACAGTGGGGTATGTTGAAGGGGTTCTCTCTTAGGAAATAAGGGCTGGCGACGATAGCCTTGGCTGCACCGTCCGTCCTTTCTTCACCACCTTGTCCGGGCCTTGTCCAGGTTTGTGTGCCCTTGGCCAAGCCATGGGCCCTGTCTTCTCCGCCTTGTCCCGGGCTTGTCCAGGCCTTCTTTGGGTCTGTGTGTCCTGCTGTTGTCGGTCCTCTTGTCACAGCCTTGTCCGGGCCTTGACCCCTGCTTGGCCCCGCCGCTTTCCCTTTCTCCGTTCCCTTCCTCCATGTTTCTCGGGTCTATGAATGCAACAGTGATGCAGAGTTTCAAATTTGATACAAATCCTGTTCACAAGAATGATCAAGAATGTTCTTTGTGTGTGTTTTATTGTCATTATTATTTTCTATATACATGATTTATGTACATGCTGTTCAACATGTTCCCAAACAGCTGGCGGCCATAAGAGCTTATATAGCATTATATAATTGTATACACTATGTAATTGCACATGAATGCAGAAGTTTCCCTCAACATTGGAATTCAGTAGTTGACGCAATAAGAGCTGAAACCGTTAGGGGTCTGTCTATGTTGTTCTACCGGACAGCCTCGAGACCATCTGAGGGATCTGGCGATGGATTTCTGGCCGACTTTGGTGGCCGCTTTGGTGTGTTTGGTGATTATGCAGAGCCTTCAGATCTTAGCGCCCAAACTTCAAGGAGCTGCGTGGTTGTCCCGCCGGGAAGCGGCACGCGTGCGTATGCTGGGCGTGGGAAATCCTGTTGCGCACGAAAACTACATTGTTTTCTTTTTCTGGCCATTTCGGAGATTTTTGGGTGGGTTTTGGGGGGGCTATGTTGGTGTTGGAAAGAACACCACAAGTAGCAATGAAGATGGGGCTTTCCAGGATCAATGTACTATACACTGGTCGAATAACTTTTGCTGCGGTTGAGATCCTGGTTTAGATATCAATGTTTGTTGGTGGATGGAACTATTCATGGGTTGATTGTTCGGCTGGAACAACAGCGAACGATCATGATCAGGCCATCTCTGACCCAGTACCCCTGGCGACATCGTTGTTTTGGTATGCTTTAAATGCATTCAACTTCACTTGTGTCGTTGGGAAGAGGGTACACAAATCATGAAGCCTGAAAAAAACTTAAGTCCTTGTTTCGTAGTCACTACAGCCCCATCCAGATTCCAAATAGATGGCACAGTCTCCCTCGTCGGGTCGAAGGGCCGAAGGTGGTCGTACAAACGGTGTCCGTTTGGGCTGAACGCGAGGTCCGCGAGGGTTTTGACTGAAGACGAAGGTCCAACAGCTAGAAGATATAATGATGATACAAGCTCTGCAGCCTCGTTGCTGCTTTGTGTTTTTTTCATTGTCTACTGGGAATCTTTGGATTGGATGTAGTAGTAGATGTTTCTGCAGTGATGCTTCAGATTCAGACTCGGGTAGGATTGGACTGAACTTTTGGTGGGTTGAAATCAGTATTTTATTTTATTGTTGCAAAAAGACAAGTTAACATGGAATTTGTCATTTGTTTTGGAAGGTCACTATTTTAACGTCCAGATCGTGTCCGTTGGGGCTTTTGGGCCCAAATGCAGGCCTTTTTTTCGCCGTCCATGACCAGATGGAAATATATACCTATCTCTCCTATCTCTTGGCAACCCGAAAATAAACCCATGACCCACGAGATCGATCCTGGCGGAGAGGATCGATCTTCGACGGCATCATCGCCTATCTGCAGAATCCGGGTGTCGGAAAAGACCGCTTTCAAGATGCGATGGCGACCTATGTGACCATCATGGTACTGCAAGGTGCATTCAGTCACATGGCAGGATACAAGCCGAACCGACCCCCGACAGGGGACTGGTGGACCTTCCAACATGGCGTTTGACTCATCCCCAAATGGAGTCGGAATCAACAAAGGCTCTTTATTTTGAGTTATTTTGCTGGTCCAGGCTGCCGCAGGCTGCTGAAACAGGTTCGTGCTTGAAAGATTGAAAGCTTGTGAAAGGGTTTGATTCATCCACGGAGAGTCAGTACAATTCATGGATCCGGTCGACCCCTTTTGACACCTTGATGAGTTGCAGCCGCAGCATGTGTTGTTTCTCTTCGACTGGTCCATTCGACCACCTCACACGACTGACGACAAGATGTCAGGCCGGTCCACCTGGGACAGATGGAGCCCTGAAACACACGTGACTCATACGACTTCCATATATAAGGATCTATAAGGTCCGTGAGAAGGCGATGAACAGGCGGTGAGTGAAAAGGCCACTTCCAACAGCCTGGGCGGTCCATTGAGTCGTTCTCGGCCCTCGAGTCTTAGGTGGCTTGAAGTCCTTGGCACAAGAACTGGTACAAAGACGCATGGCATGTGCTGTGCGATTGAAGCTCTTTGCCAGCGTCATTCGCATGGACATTGCCTTCTTTGACACCATGCACACTGGCCAGTTGACCTCGCGCATGACCAACGACGCAAGCTTCTTGGTTGAATTTGTTTGATATGCTCAGTGTCCATCAAAGAGGAACCCTACTTCTCTGACCAGCACGGTTCGCCACAGCACCTGAGTTGTTGTTTTTGTGTGTGTGTGACATTCACTGCAATAATATATCTATCTATCTATCTATCTATCTATCTATCTATCTACAGTATCTATCTATCTATCTATCCATCCATCCATCCATCCATCTATCTATCTATCTATTATCTATCTATCCTCGCATCACCAAGGAGTTAACGGAAACACAAAATCCCAACTCATGAACAGCACAAATCCATTACAAATCCTTACTCATCAGAGGATATAATACATTATTCGCTGGGCATTTTCGTTTTCTCCCGGGATCATGGTTCCCCTTCAAAAATGCGGGGCCATACGCAGGCTTAGTTTTAGGAGCATTGAGACAGCTCGGTCAGGTCGCTTCTTGGCCTCGCAACACAAAACAGAACGGACAACGATGGTAACAAGTAGGAACAGAGCACTTCCATGCCAATGGTTGGCCTTAACCTGGGTCGATGAAGACTCCTATACCAGGATCTTCAAAGTGACCGAACTTGATATCCCAGCACGAGTTCACTTACAGGCCGTAAAAGGTCACTTAGAGACTCCAAAGAGCTCACTTAAAGAGACTCCTGGTAGGTGACTTTTGGGTTCATGTTTCTTTGCGGTACAACTGGAGCATCCGTCTGACCCTGCCTGCCGAACGAGGGGTTGTTCAAAAAGCTGCTGTTTCGATGCATCCGCGTGAAACGCGGCCCCGCGGTGTCCGTCCGTCCGTGTGTGGCCACGGATCCGAGGTCAGATGACGCAGCCCTTGAACACCTTGTTGAACGACTTGTTGGCAAACGTGCTACTGCTGGTATTTTGCCTGCATGATTGCAGGTTCTGTTGCTGAATGATTGCACTCCCAAAACTCAAGAACCTCCCGGGACCCCGCGACAAAAAAAGAGGATGGCTTGTCCAGCATGCTGGCCGAGGCTGTTGCAGAAGCTATTCTGTTTTCTTTCAAACTGTTTGAGTGATTTTGAGTGATGTTTTTGGATGCTCTAGTTTCACACTATTGAAGTAAAGTAAGTTGTTTACCTGCTCTTAAATATCAAGTTGCACTATGTTGCACTGTAGTTGGTTTATCCACCACTTTAAGTAGGTGCTCTCTGACATCCAGAGCTGCCAATGACACGCAGTCATAGACCAAAAGAAAGTACTCAGATAGGTCACCGTCCTGTCGTGGTCATTTTTTTTGTCAGGTAGGTGGGATGTTCATGGCCTTCCGAACCTCATGGAAACTCTCGATTTTGGCCTTGACCATCGTCCCTCCCATCACCTACAGCTACAGATCCTTGGCACACTTGTTCAACCGCTTCACGGTCGGCACCGCCGATGTCCGAAAATGAATGCCATGATGATATGCCATGGTGATTTTGCTCTTTTTGTTCAGGCGCTGGTACAAACGGCCTGGTGCGCTGTATTGTTGTATTTAAGTAGCCGCAAGGAGCCACCACCATGGCTGTGAACTCGATCGGACTACGTAGCAGAAGTCGATAGAGACCACGCTAGACAACGCTTGGGTGTGGAGCTCCTGTGTTCAGTTTTCGACAAACGAAACTTCAGCAAATCCAGTAATCGGGACTGCGGAGCCTCAGCAGTAGGACCGTTCTCAACTTGCGACGATCAATTCTAGTTTTTGCCAACCATTCTGGGTTGTTTTTGGATGAAACATACCTCTTCGAGGGAGTCCATCCCCAAAAAACACCTCGAAGGGTAGTGGTACAGAGTATTACAGGGTCTATGGCATTCAACAAAGGCCGAGCCTTTAACCCCCCCGTGGGGAGCAAACATGACTGGTTAAACCACTTCTTCCACACAAAACGTGCAGTGTGTGGGCGTGCTCGACGTCCACATCGAGCACTCTCCTCAAGGAGTCTATGCCAAGTGGGCGCGCCGCGTCACGCGCTCCATCTACTGCGCTTACGGCGAAGCGAACTCCACGGCGACGGATGCCATCAGCAACATCCGCACGGTCCGTGGCTTCTCCACCGAGACACGGCCGAGACACGGTCCGTGCGCCCGGCTTGCTGGGGGGAGGGCTCGGTGCGGTAGTCCTGGGGCGAAGAGCTGCGGTGTTTGCCGAGGGGACAAGGTTTCATTGAAGGAACATTTGATGAACATATTAATATAGTCATATATAGGGATTAGGATGTGCTGTGAATGGTGAACAACAATATCAAGATCGGAAGGAATTTATTCCATGTCTTTTCCTTTCAGGGGCGCAGCAATTTGGGCACCCACCGCCCACCGCTGTGTTTCCACCATCAGGAAGCCTTTGAGTCCAACAAGTATTCAGACAGCATCAATACGGCGCTGGGCCACGGTGTGAAGAACGCCTATGTGGGAGCTTCTGTGACGGCCTTCTCCACCTACTTGAACTTAGGCACTGCTGTTTTGATCCTTTGGTACGGCGGGCAGCTGGTCTGTGATAGCGAAGGCAAGATCATGAGCATCGGCTGCCAGGTTGCACCTTTGAAAACATCAGCTGTGGTCTTTTCAGTGTCCGTTCTGGATTTTTGCAAGTATGTCCATGCTCTTCCATGACAAATTAGCATGCTCAATTATCTTAGCAGTTCTTAGCAAAGAAGAGTTGAGGACGATGAACACACATGTCATTGAGGTTGAACGCAAAGCTTCAAATGTATTAACATGTCTTTTGCTTCGGCACATCTTTGATCGGCACAGCCAAGGCTCTTTGATTACCTTTCAACTTTACTGGAATATGATGAACAACGCCTTCATCTCTCTTGGGAAGCACAGATGCACTGTTAGAAAGATATATTTGCCTTGAATGTATTTCTTCGGCCCTGAACCATAAATCAGAATTGATTGAACTCCTGGCTTTTGCAGGGGGACAATGCCAACCTAGCACTCAATTACGAGCTATTCAAGAAGATTCCAAGCATCTCAATCTCTCCTTTCTTCCGTCCCTGTTTTCGTGCTCCCCTATACTCTTAGGAACGTGTTCAATGACCTGATCCGCTCCTCCTCAGCGGCGGAACGGGTCTTGTCCTTGATCGATGCGCGGCCCGTCGCTCGGTCGAACAGCGGTCGAACAGCGGTCCGAAGACCCAAAGAGAAACCAAGCGGAAATCATTTTTTGCCACCTAAAATGCACTCTCCCTATACGCACTCTCCAACCAGCAATCGTTTTTGCCATACTGCACTCTCCCCTGCAGTTACTAGTTCCCTACGCGCAACGCACTCTCCCAACAGAAACTCATGCACTCTCCATAGACTTGTTGGGTTCCGTTGAGGGTGACCGGAGGGAGGGTCATCCACCGGGATGGAGGGGATTCATTACTAGTACAAGTCGTCGTCCTCCTCCTCCTCATCATCATCATCGCGTTCGAGTGACAGGGGACAAGGTTGCTGGAAAAGCTCATTGCACCTCATTGCATTTGGTTTTCAGGAGATGGTCTTCGTATAGCTAGCGGGCACAGACCCACAGAGAGCTCTGCAAAGCAACCAGATGCGATGGTCGTCCATGGTCTTGGATATCCCACGACTGGATTCCAGCTAACTACGGTTTCAAACTCGTAAAGACGATTGGCTCCAATACTAAAGGTCTTTGGTGTGCTTGCTAATGCAAAGACAGCAGTACTGGCCAGAAATAGAAATCCTTTTGAACAGTGGAGGCAGCTTTGTGGAGCTGACCATTGGATTCTGTTCATGAAACAATCTTGTTCAGATCTCCCCCCCTATCCCACTCTCCTCTTGGGCACAGTTGTGCTTCAAACGAGAAAGGTTAACAGTTCTCAGTTCACCTAAGAAATCCAATACATAGATATCCGCGAGGGTCTTCGTCACTTTTGAGGGCTTTGCATGGCTTAAACAATCCCTTCTAGGGTGTCATCTCCATGGATGTTCCCCCAGTACCAGTGATGTGGGGTCTGGGATGCAGTCCATGCAGTGCAGTCCCTTCTTTAACCACTTCACACGGGAAGATTTAGACCTTTGGAAGACTATTTCCCATTATTTTCCGATACAACCTAGTGGTTTTGGGGGTTCATGTTAATCTGCAGAGGAGTACATGTTGTAATCTCCTTTAATCTCCTAAAACCACTGCTGCCGGCTCAAAAAACTCCGTGGTGTTTTGGAGCATTTGCCAGGGAGAAAGACAGCTCAACACGTGGAAGTCTCGGACTTCTCACGTCCGAACTCGTTGGGAAAAAAAAGGTGGCCATCCCCAGTCGCGTGACAAAACACTAAGGATGTGAACCCCGACGAGGGAGAAGTCCTCGTGCGCGAGACCGTCAAAGGACGGATGATGCGGGACGGACGAGGGACGACGGACGGACGACGGAGCTTCCGACGAACGGTTTGAGGCAGAAGTCGGACAAACATGGACATTTCATTCAGCTTGCTTGCGGGAGGACAGGTTCCCAGATTGCCGAGAATCATTGATATTTGAGAACTTCCAGGACTATACAGATTATGTGGTATTTTAACCATGTCCTCGAAATGCAACGCTCTAGTCCAAGCCAAGCCTTTGCATCTTCGTTGGGTCCTTCATGCCTGGAAAATCATTGAGCTTTGTTTGAAGCAGGCACCACTTGGCAGCAATGTGGAGCTACCTCTATCTTCCATATGGTACCTGCTGAGGTACCAGCATAGGAGTCTTGCTGGTTTCTTCGAGGAACGCATCGTTTTACCCACAACACATCGCAACGCACGGATCCCTGTAAACACCAGAAAGGACACCAGAAGACATAGGTCAGGAGAGAACCAATTGACTGTATGTTTGAAAGGTTTACAAGAGACATGTAATGGTTTGATATGGTTTGATTAAAATCAGTCAACTTTAATGGTATTTGCAGCATGGGAGGTTGAGACTGGCAAGGTAGCATTGAAGAGTCTTGCATCATAACTGTTCAGGACTTTATCCTGATTACCGTCCCCTTAATATGAGCTCAGCAAGACTATTCATACAAGGTGTCAAGGGATACAGAGCACCTCTCCCAACATTCACTATGAGGCTGAATTTTGTTCACTCTGAACATTCTTATGTGGCTTCTCTGCATGGAAAGACTAGTTTCCTCTTGCAAAGACAAGTTGGATAGAAGTCAACCCAACAGACTCATGACAATTTCGTCACTTTCAAGCATTGGCATCTACTTCATCGGCACCCAATTCTACTGCCTCAGATCGTGTGGCCAGGACACCTCAAGCTGCGCGGGATCCAATTCCGCTACCGCTCACGGCCGGACAGCATCGTTTTGAAAGGCCTGCCAAGGTTTTGGAAGGAAAACACAACAAAGCCTGGCTCCTCAGCCATTGGTTTACTCATGAGTACTTCCCTTCACTTAGTTTGCCATCCAATCATCCTGACAGTGTGCGGCTGGTGCATGGAGCGGTTTTTATTACTATTATTAAGGCTATGCTGAGGCCATTCGTTCGGATCGTCCGAAGCGTGCGTGATATGTTCTAATTGCTTTATGTGTTTCTTTCCGATGGACCCATGGACTTGGTCCGTTCGCATGACCGGGTCGTTGAACAGTTGAACTCTGCTTCTCCACCGCCGGTGGTCGTGGAGGCTTTCGCTCTTCACTCCGGTTCGCTTTCCAAGCACCGAGAGTGGGGAGGAGGACTGGTGATTTGAGCCAGTCTGCTGTAGAAAACCTACAGAGGTGGACAGTGACCTGAACTAGGACCCGTAACCTGGGGTACCGAACTGGGATAGTCTAGTTCGGGTCCTGACCCACCTCTGTTGGCATGAGATCATGCACCATCAGAGCCTGAAACAAAACAGGAAAAACTTGTGGCATTTGTGCATCTCGCAGCAGGTATTGATATGGAAATGCCGCCAGGGACGACTACTGCCTTGGTGGGAAAAAGTGGAGGTGGCAAGAGTACCTCATCCTTGATTGATGAAGACTATACTCCAAGCTACAATAACGAAGCTGTTTTAAAGAAACAATAGTTCTTAGTGGGGAGTTTGTGTTTATATATATATATAGGATTTCGTGACGCATCAAGTTGTTGTTGTGGACAATCGACTAGTTGCCACTGATCGTCAGTCGTTGTCGTTGCGAGTGCTGGGCACTACTCAGTGCTCCGTTGAACTATCCTGGTATATCCTGGAATCAACTGGAGAGCCTGGAAGCCAAGACAAAGTACAATATATGGTTCTCTACTACAGGTTTGTTCTTAAATGTTCTTAACATTGAATGTTTTTTTGTTGGTTTGCCTTTAACGCTTCTGGGGTTCAGTGACCACAAGCTGTAACTTGCTATAACTTTACTTCCAATCAAAGAGATATATATATATATTAATCCAGCTCAGTTCGATTCTTCCACTCATCATCACACTTTTGTTTGGCTACGGCTACGGCCCGAATGACTCAACATTTTCGGCGTGCGTGCCAGCAATTGACAAGCTTCCCAGGAGGTTGCTTGTATGTGCCGCAAACAAAAGGATACCCTTTAAATTGGTTCTCCGGCATCAGTTGGTAGGAGCAACCGGTCCCACAACGGAGCAGTTCGGTGATTTTGGAGATTTTGTCCACTCAAGTTAGGCTTCTTCATCGGCCAGGTGGCCGCACTCACCATGTATTATATGTGGGTTATTGTAGGTTGTCGACTCTCAAAGGTGATTGTGGAGCCAGAAAATGCGAGCAGAAACCAAGCAAATTAAACCTGAGTTGTTGCTTCATGTCTTTTCAATTGGCCAGCAGCCTTAACAGCGTGCTTCCTGGTTGAAAGCCTTGTTGCTCAGGTACACTTGTCCATTTGTTGCTGCTTTGCCTCAATTCATGCAAGTTGTGATTTTTGCTTGTCTATATTGTGTGTTTATTGAAAGTGATTGTCACATGAGGACTCAGAGATTTCTAGCTCCCAACGAAAAAAGATAGGTACACGGTCTGAAACATGGTGAAAAGCTGGTCAGAAACCGTGTGCTGCTGAACAGCGCAATCTTCCATTGCCCTAGTCCCAGATGGGAGTGGCTCACAGCAGTCTAAGAAGCATTCCGCACTTACCGACTGACATCCTTTATCAGTCACATTAAAAACTGTTCAAGCAAGACCTAGTGCTGGTGTCTTTTCGGGATTATCCCATCTTCTTTCTTTCCAACATCAAGCATGGGACTTCCCAGACACTCCATGGGACTGGAACCTTCCAGTCCCAGACTTGTCTCGGACCCTCCGTTCGCATCGCTCTCTCACGCGAGCGATGTCTCAGGATGCGATTCTACGAGCCCACGGCGGGAGAAATCATCTTGGACGGCAAAGACACCCGGAGAACACAACATTAAAAGAAGACAATTAAGAAACTAACACAATCAAGAATACATATAAAATCATATATATATATATATTTGATAATTAGTAATATTACAACAAATAGAATAAGAATCTTTGTTTTTCCTCTACGTACTGATCGGGTCGGGGCAGTCGATTTGTTGGACCGAAGGTCACACAAAGGTCGCAACCGCCTCTGTGGATGGACAGAGAGGAAGATGTAGGGGCTTCATAAGATTCATATGTGACACAGGCCATGTGGGGGGTGTTTAGTCCTACCAAACCCTGAGAAAGTATGTGGATTCATGCGAATTCGGGAAGAATTCGTGGATGCGACGTGCGCGATAGGTCACCCGTTGTCAGGGGGGTGTTCAAAGGTCGGGTCCACTAGAAGATCCGGGCAATACCTTTGGAGGTGCGTTTGTTATCCCTGTGGTCACTTTTAAAGATCACCTCCAGCTGAGTAAGTAGACATAATGTCTGACCTCAAGGATGAGCTCTGGGCCATGAAGCAACACAGGCTGTTTCAGCTGGATTAGATGGATTAGACTGGGCTGTTGCTGTATGGAGCTCTATACCATTGGAGGTGGGACTACTGGGGCTTCATTTGGTTTCTGTTTCAACAGGAGCGAAAGACCCGGCGTTCGGTGTAGGCGTTTGTTTAGTGTCCAGGGTCCCGTTTTTCGGTGCGGTGCGTCTCGGGTCTCTCAAGCGGCGTTCGGTGTGGCGACCGGTGATGGTGGGTCCAGAAAATCATATGGTAGGTTGCGTGCATGTTCTTTGCCTGATGCCTTTTGACATGTAGAGTACAAGAAGTATAACCAAAAACCATGAGCTGTAGACTTGTGTTGTGGTGATTAACAAAAAATCCAAAGAAGAACAGAGAGGCACAGGTCATGGGGCATCCATTGCACTTTGAAGCTGCATAATAGAAAGTTTGTTGTTCCAAGATTCCAAAGTGAAGCGTGTTTCTCAGATGAATAGTGGTTTCAGGCCAAGCGGCTTGAGGCGTTCAAGGGATCCCCTATGCTACCCCTTGCGGCTTGCGTGAGGGAGTGGGATTCAGAAAGTTCAAAGGCCAAGAGTGGGAAAGCAGGATCGATTCTCCTTGAATTGGCAAAGGTGCAAGTTGGCATTCAATGACATTGAGCGAGAATGTTCATGTTTCAGTGACCCACTTGAAACACTATCCACGAATGGCTAGGGTGATGCCCTCAGTTCTACTAAGGACACAAAGTTGCTTTCCTCCAAGAGTGTTCGTCAGTGCTGCGGTGCGCCAGATGAGTTTGTTCAACAAGTTTTCTATGTCAACAGATCTTCAGCATATTTAGTCACATATCTTTAAGCCCTTCAACAATCTTCCTGGAGAGGAACCCAGTGAAGGAGACGACCATCTCTACAGTGTGCGGACAAGAAATTCACGCATTCTACTGAGCATTTTGAGCGTTAAAACTTCCCCGGCTGCGTGTTCACATTGGAGCCGAGTGGAGCCGAGAAGTTCGCCATACAGTCCACTGTGCACCCCTCAGGCTTCGTAGCACAAGATACTCAATTATTCTCCTGCTCGATTGAAGAGAATTTGTCCTATGGCTTGGGACGAGATCACAGCAAGGAGCCGAGCAGCCGATTCGGCAGCCGACCGGTCGAGATTTGGACTGCGGTCTGGGACCTCGCTAGGGACCTAGTCGGTCGATTGGACAAGAGTGGTGGTTCAAAATGGTTGACAGCACTTTTCGTGAGAAGTGCTCGTTCCTGACGAGTAGATTTTGACTATGGTATACAGACTCAGAGTTGACTAGACATTAAAGCTTAACTGATGACAAGTCGTCTCAGACCAGGTGACATCAGCTGACTTCAGCCTTGGTTTCAGAGGTGATTCATGGCACGCTTGCACCCCGAGCCTCGAGGTCGCTTCGAGGTCCGTGGGTCCAACGACCGGTCACGACCGGGAAAACGGTGGGGGGGGGCGTCCCGTTTCGCTCGCGTTTCCCTCGCTAGGAGGAAGTGATCGAGGCATGCAAAGCTGCAAACGCACATGAGTTCATTCTGGAAATGGAAGAAGGCTACGAGACACGCGTGGGAGAGAAAGGCGGGGAGAAAGGCAAAGAGAAACGGAACGAGAGACACGGCATTCGGGCGCCCGAGCACCAGTGTTTGCAAATGGAAAGTCATGTTTTTAGGGATTTTGACCAGCAACCTTTATCCCAAAAGATGCAGCAAGGTTTAAGTGTGTGTCTTGTGAAATGAAATTGCAAGTCCAAGATGTTGACAGAACTTTTGACTAACCAGTAATCGAGACTTTGGTCATCGGTTCATGTGCCTTTGCACCAAACCTTCGAAGTATGGCTTTAGCCCTCCGAGCACCCAAGAAAACAGCGCAGCCACCATCCCCCCCTCCGACTCAGGCATCATGCTCTCGGGAGGGCAGAAGCAACGCTTGGCCGTTGCCTGGTGAGATTGGCGGCCAGGGTGATTTTCTAGTAGCGATGGCCTCCAACCTAGAAGCGATGGCCCTCCCACCTAGAAGCGATGGCCTCCACCGTGGGTAGCTTCTTGTTACTAGTAGTATGGACCAGTATGGATGTTTCTCACATGTGTTTGATGAATTCACTTCTGGAGAAGACCTATCTGTAGCGATGCCGTCCGATCGACTGCCCCTTTCCAGGTTGCCCGATGCTTCTTACGGAAGCCCAGGCCGGTCGACCGACCGACCCGCAACCGCCGAGGGGTTGGGTTGGTTGGTTCGTGGCGGGGTGGAAGAGGAAGGTAGCCCTGACACACAACTCATAGCATTGGTGCTGTTTCCGGTCTCCCAATTCTAAGCAGCACTGAATATGTTGTTCAGGATTTTTGGTTTTCTTCGGATAAGCAACTCGTGCATGCTGCATATGCTTTAGCAACCGTGTTTGGAACTGATTCATTGCGTCAAGACTTAAGAAACCACCCCAAGTCACCCAGAATCTCCAAGCATGGCGTGCAGCAAGTTTGACCGTTCAAGGGACGTAGCATGAGCCGTTGGTCGAATCCGGCACGCTCCAAACTGCAGTTAAGCACATTTGAGGCTTGACTGTCCGAAACAGGGTGTATAATTGCTCTTAGACCCTTAGTCCATCTTTGTCCTTTTGGTTTAGAAGGGATTTCTAAACAAACCACCTCAGATTAAACCCTTAGCAAAGGACCTATGGACCCAGGAGCCCCTAGTAGCGTCCTTGCTCCTAGTAGCGATGCCAGGAGCCCCTAGTAGCGTTCTTCCTCCTAGTAGCAAGGCCAGGAGCCTTGCTCCTAGTAGCAAGGCCAGGAGCCCCTAGTAGCGTCTTTGCTCCTGGTAGCAAGGCCAGGAGCCTTGCTTCTAGTAGCGATGCCAGGAGCCCCTAGTAGCGTTCTTGCTCCTGGTAGCAAGGCCAGGAGCCTTGCTTCTAGTAGCGATGCCAGGAGCCCCTAGTAGTGTTCTTGCTCCTAGTAGCAAGGCCAGGAGCCCCTAGTAGCGTCCTTGCTCCTAGTAGCAAGGCCAGGAGCCCCTAGTAGCGTCCTTGCTCCTGGTAGCAAGGCCAGGAGCCCCTAGTAGCGTTCTTGCTCCTAGTAGCGATGCCAGGAGGCCCTTGTTTTTCCTTGCTCCTGATAGCGATGCCGGGAGCCCCTAGTAGCGTCCTTGCTCCTGGTAGCAAGGCCAGGAGCCCCTAGTAGC